GGGGGGGGTTAGATTCTATCGAGTGCACCAACGCCGAAAACAAAGTTCATTGATTCTGAACTTTATGCCATTGCTTAGTGCCCATTTCCTCACCGATTTATGTGCGCTACTTTTTCAGAGGCTTAATGAAGGAGTTTACTTCTTTACGGGTGCGATTCCACCAGTCATTAGCAAAGTGATCGACATGTCTAGCTTAACTTTTTGGCCAGGTTCCCTTCACGTCTTGCTTATCTGGTGAAAACTGTAATTGCTTATATTGTCACAAAGAGAAGCTCATGATATTCTTCACGCTGCTGATTTTTCTGTCACAGCCGAAGTTTGCTCTTCTGCTTCCTTCTCTGACCGCGTTTCGCTTCCCTGATTTTTTATTTTCAATATTGTTAATTTAAAGAGGTGAGCGTGGTCATTCCAATGGACCGTATGTATTGGTGTTTCAAGGGGTATGCATTTGCGTCACATTCTGAAAATATTTTTAATCTTTTGGTTCAGAAGCCGCGTTGAGCGAAGATGAATTAAATGCGTTGGTTGCGCATGCACATCTTAAAGTGGACCAGCTAAGACAGCAACTAGCCGAACAGCAAGTAAATGTTGTTTCACGTTTCTTTCTTGGATACAGTATATGCGCTTATTATGCGTTTTGTGCTGTGTAACAGCGGTGCAAAATGCATATTGTCATGGGGTTGTCTATGTATATGTGTGTGTGTGTGTCCGCAGCAACTTATCCGCAACTTTCAACTCGGAAACAACAAAAGCTAGGAACTTGAAAATTTACGGGAACGTTCCCTGCCCATGTGTGACCTCGCAGATTTAAATTCAGCCTTCCCTTGCCCGCAGTCAACACGTCCAGCCGGATGAAAGTTTTGGCGGAGGAAATTATTATCTTCGGGACCACGGGCCTAGGAAACTGAAATTTTAGGAGATTGTTCCATGCTGATGCGCGACCCCTCAAATTTAAATCCACCTTCCCCCTGTCCACGGGTAACACGTACGGCCCAGTGTTAATTTCGGCGGGGAGAATTATTAACTTCGAGACCACAGAATCTGGGAAAGCTGAAATTTTACGAAAATGACTTTGCCCACATGCGACCTCGCAAATTCAGGTTCAGTGCCCCCGTGCTCTCGGGTATCACCTACGGCTCCGTTAAAATTTTGGCGGGGAAATATCTCGGTAACCATAAAAGCCAGGAAGCTGAAATTTTGCGGCAGTGTTCCCTGCCCGCACGCACTCTTGCAAATTTAAATTCAGCCTTTCCGCGCACCCGAGTATAGCCTTCCCGTGCGCTCGCGCATATCGAATATTTTTCCCTATACGGAAGTGTAAAACAGTTATATTTTTAGCAGGCAAACGTTCGCTGAGCGGAACTTCACAAAGCGCATGTTCGTACCGGTTGCCCTGGTACGCGTTGCTACTTGTTCTTGAGATTCCCACCATGTAAATAGGCCAAGACGTTAAAGTGTTTTACCGGAGATTGCACCACAATGTGTCTTCATAAATCTCTGGAAGGCATGTCGCGTTTTGCTGCAGTTTTGCGTTCTTGCATCTGAAACGGTTCTTCCAACCAGTACGGCATCGTTATACTAAGGTATCTCCGCTGCTTGCGTGCTTCCTTTGCTTTTTTTAGTAGTTCTGATAGGCTTGTACAATGGTAATGTTGCTGTCGCGCGGAAGGCCGATTATTTGACTACCCTGGTGAGTTCAGTGCCCCAACAACGCGTTCACTCATATTTATGCGAAACTGGTACTGGCACATGCCGAACTCGCTCCAGACTTCCAAAGAGTTTCTGAAAAGGAGAAAAACCGGTGGCTTCCTTGTCAGCGATTAGTTGCTACTGGCACTTGCTGTCGCTCACACTACTTTCGATTATGCCTGCCTTTAAAAAAGCACGGATGTGAAGAGGGTTTTGGTTTTGACTTTTAGCTGTTTAGTGTTATTTCGTTTGTTTCCCAGCACATTTTTTTCAGATTGACTTCACTGCCTTTTTTAGTTAAATTCACCTGCACTGGCACAGTTTTATGTTCTTTTAATTAAATTTTGATTTTTTAAAAAAATTTTTGTGGCGCAACAGTTGCATAAAGCGTTTTGTGGTGCAACAGTTGCACAAAACGCATGTTGTAGAGAGTCTGTGTATGTATGCGCGTACGTGTGTGTGTGTGCGTTTGTGTCTGTGTGTATGTGTCTGTGTGTATGTGTCTGTGTGTATGTGTCTGTGTGTATGTGTCTGTGTGCGTTTGTGTCTGTGTGTGTTCCGAGTGTGCTTTGTCCGTAGTTTTGAACTCGGGAACCTGTGAAGCTAAAAGGCTGGAACTTTAGGATGATATCTCGCACTCACGTGTGATCTCGCAACCTTAAACCCAGCCTCTACGTGAGGTAAGTCTTGCGCACCGTAGCGCGAAATTTTGGCGCGAAAATTATTAATTCGGGAATCGCAAGTGTTAGGATGCTAGAATTTTACGATGGTGTTGAGTGTTTATGTGCAACCCAAAGATATCAAATTCAGCTGTCACTTTTATCTGGGTCTTACACACGAGAAAATGAGTTTTTGGCCGAGAAATTACTAAATTGAAGGCCAGAAAATGATCACACCAGGGTGTCCTGGTTACGTCCCTATTTATTTGCATTTGTAAACCTCTCACTTGTCCATACATTCCTCGCCTTCGGGCTGTTTTAACCTTTCTCCCGGAGAAAAAAAATGAGCGCAAATCTGTTTCTTGCCAACAAATGTGTGTGTGGTTTTTTTTTTTTTTTTGGAAATGGTCTTGTGTGGTTTTTTTTTTAATAAAGGGAGCGTCTGGTTTTTTGCAGGTTCGAGAGAAGCAAAATATCGCACTTGCTTTGGAAGAGCAAAAAAAGTCGCAAAAGGAGCTTTCTGAGGAGGAAATGAATTTGAGAATGCAAGCAGTTCGGGAGGAGATGCAATCTGAAACTGAAAAAATGGTAACATCTAAATTTTTTTCATATTACGCATAGCTGTAGTTTCAAATCATTTTGTGAATGAACCTGTTGCCTAAACCGCCTGGTGTTTTGCATTTGTAATGTGTTTCCGAGGACTGCTGCCAGTGTAGTGGTGCAAAAATTTCCTAATGAACAGCAGCGAAAATAGTAAGCTGGATTTAGATAATTACGATCCCCAAGGGTCACATTTGCATTTTAAGTACTGGTTTTACCGGTTGCAAAAATCGCTGTGCTTCTTTGGGCTGAAGCGGTATTGCACACTTTTGTGAAGGAGAAAATTGTTGAGAGCTGGTCAAAATGACGGACGAAGCTGCTTACTTAACCAGCGCTGCTTGGACTTCGCATGCGAATACCCAGGGAATAAAAAATATTCACTCAGACCATTCTCGTAGGGTTGACACGCGCATGTAATGGACGTGTAGGCGGCCGGATGCAAATGGATGACTGCTCATGAGTAAAGTTAAAAACCGCAAACTGGTCCGGGTGTTTTTAATACTAATCTTGTACGGGCTTAAATTGTTGAGCTTGTGAGACGATGATTGCTTTTTTGATGCGTTAGTAGTAGGGAAATTATGTCTGGTTGGTGGTGGAAAAAAAAATTTTGTATAAATTATGTAGGCTGTTCAATAGTTTACTGCTCATTAAACAAGATTTCAGAAGCGAAGGGGCTTGGTTAAGTACTTCAGTGATCAAAGCCTCATGTAGGATTTGTTTTGGAGCATACAGCTATTTATCGGCCATTTTAGCTTTCAATGAAAAGGACACTTTGGGAAGCGGAGCTGAAAGAGAAGCTTCAGAGAGCAGCTGCAGCCCATTCAGGACATATCGAAGAAGTTGTGCGCGCACAACGAAATCTCTTTGAAATTGAGCAGAAGCAGAAGGTGAGCCCGTATAAACTTGACTGTACGAGCCAGAGCACAAGCCTTGGTGTTGTCCCTCATCAGTTGTCCACCAGACTTCACAGTTTTTGTTAGAACTGTCAAATTTCTCTTTTTTTTTTTTTTTTTTGAATGGTATATTTTTGTGTTATAAATGTATGTTATCTTTTTCGCGACCTATCCACATCCGCTCTCCCGTTTGGGCTGGACCTTTCCTGGTGATCTTATCTTTAGAGATTGGTGGGACCTGTGGAATGATCTTCTTGTCCTGCTTTGTTTCCTTCAATTAGTGTAGATGCTATCAATGTGCTGCATATGGGTTCAGCTGTCATCCAGGTTTTTTTGGTTTCTTGGTCTAGTTACAAGTGACAAACCGTTCAAAACATTGGTTGGTTTTTTTTGTAAATTTCATTTGTTAAACTCTTTTCTCAGCCGCAGCATCTGCACAGACTTCTATTTCATAGTCCAAGTTTTCTGGACCTGCGATCAGCCTAACGATCCGTTTAATATAAAACGGGAAGGAATTTAATGTATCTCACGATTTATCCTCATTACTGCAATCGCTGCATGATCTGCCAAGGTGCTTTCATCTTCAGCAGTGGGCACCGGTTGTAGATCAAAATGGATCACAATTGCATGTGAAAAGAAGTTGGAAATTTAATTTTGTCGAACCTTCTGCCCGATTTTTAAATGACATTCATTCATTGTTCAACAAGAGTCGTCAAAAATTTCATGTTGTAAGCTTCTCAGGAAGCTTTTCAAGGAATTCTGTGAATTTTAGGTCGAAGAAGCGGTTGCACTGGAGCGTGCTCAGCACAGCAAGCAGCTAGCAGCTGCTCAGGGAAGATTAGAAGGAATTCAAATTGCTTTGAAATCTCGACTATTGCAAGTAATTTTTTGCTTTCGCCTCCCAAAATTGGGATGAGTGAAAAGGGCTAGTATTGGACAGCGATGACGGCGCTGTCGCAGCAAACTTAGGCTTCCCCAGTACATTGGAATTGAATTTAGATGTATATGTAATACAAATTTTATTTGAACTTCGAGCATATGTGTTTCTGTTCACATTAGCCTAAAATGCTTTTTTTTGAGTGAAATCCGATCTAAATGACTGGAAATTGGCGTGTTGTCGTTCCACTTCAGAATTGAAAATTGCACAGGGTGTTAAATTTTTTTTTTTTTTTTCAAGGATGCCGAAAATCGTCATTCAAAGCAAATATGGATAGCTTCACAAAACTTGGTAGATTCCATAGTACATGGACGTCGGGGTGGTACTGATTGCGACAGCCGACGCAAACCGCTGGCAGCCGAAGTAACATTCTTACTGTTGCTTCAAACTTGCATGTTTCTTTGTCTGTGTGAACTTATTTTTCTTTCTTTACCACCATTTGCTATGTGTTTTTGTCTTGAATTGAACCCAGCTGCAAAAGTTCCTAGCTTTCTGTGCTCGTGACCTTAATTAGGATGTTTTATATTACTTTTTTTTTTACTTCCAGTTTGATGAATGTGACGTATTAATTGCGATAACAGGATGATTGGTCGGAGTGGCTAGCCTTTTTGTAGCTGTGTGAAGCTTTCTGCGTGGTTTCTCGGCCCCAGTTAATTTGCTGGAAATGTTAATAGGAGAATTGCTTTCTTTCCATAAATTGATTTTTAGCTGCAAATGATACGGGAAGCCAAAAGTGATGACGAATTTGTGGAGCGTTTGGTGGAGGTGCTTCCAAATGAAACAATCTACAATGGAGTGTATACTGAAGAAGATTTGAAATCCAGGTTTAGTAAGGTTATATTTTAATAAACTTTAAAAAACTGATGTGGTATAAAAAAGTTTTGTGAGTTGATTTTATTCGTAGTCATACTTCAGCTGTATAAAATTTGTCGTCGGGTGGCAAAAATGGATGAAAACAGTGTAGGCCTTTTCCATTATGGCTTATCGTGGCTACAGAATGCTGTGTCTTTCGATGCACCCGGGAAATGTTCCAAAACGGTAACGGTTTTTTTTTTCATCATTCATTGAGAGGATACCGCCTGTTCTCTATGCATAATGATTAGTCCGGTTGAAGTTTTAAAATGACTGATAGGGGTTGTAATTGATTTTCGAAACTTTTTACAATCGATTCATTTGAAATGCTTCGAAATGGACGCAGCTGTTGCTGTAAAGTTGCTTAGAAATGCAGGAATGCGGCTCACAAAACGCGTTTCTGCTGTCCACTTCATTTTTTCTGACTTTCTAGTTTTGCGCGTTCTTAGCGAATGCTTGCGCTTTTTCAACCAAACTAGCTTAAGCGTTTTCAGAATCAGTTGCATTCAGTAAACGTTAGGTTTGCTAGTGCATAAGTAAACGTAGCTAAAAAGCGTGATGTAAGGTGCCAGAAGGAGCTCTTGATTGTTACAAATAGTTTTCAGAGTGCAATGACTCACCGAAAGCAGCATGCTTATTTTTTCACCACTATCCAGTTATTCGGCAGCTTGTTTTTTTTATACATATACTTTGAGTGTGCTTCTTCTGAATGAAATTTTGCACTGACAGTAAAATTTCAGGATAAATTCGATCCGCTGACGTTGGATTCTTATGAAATCTTATCAAGGGCGAAAAATTTTGTCTCAGAGGGAGATCTGAATTCGGCTGTACGTGTGTTGCAGCTTTTGACGGGTCCAGCGAAGCATTTGGCACATGATTGGATAAGCGATGTACGGGCGCACCTTGAAGCTCGCTTTATTGCCGAACTGTTGGTTGCACATGCAGCTGTCAGTAGTTATTCATCTGCACATTAATTTACTCAATTCGCTTATTTTGCTGTCGTTGATCGTTTCAGAGAGTTCCTGCGAACTTCTAGTTCTGATTGCTGTATCTTCGTTTTTGTGATCCGTTACACTTAAGTTTGCTAGGAATGACGTGCGGCTTAACGGCAGCTGGCTGAGAACAGCTGAAAGCAACAGATTTGTTGTTGACAGGCAAAGCAGGAGATTTGTGTGGTTGAGAGTCCTTGATAACAGGGATTACTTATTAGTGCGGGAAGTATGTGCCTGAATTCCTCACGACCTGTTGTTGTTTTATTACGAACCCAGTGATCCTCTTTGTTTGATTTAAGAGTTCCCCTTGTCTAGTGATATAGTTCGCGGTTGTGTTCGTAATTTCCGACTTTGTCGTACTTTCCTCCTATGTGAGTTTTTCTTTTTTCTGCGCGGTGAGCCGAAAATATGAAAGTTATGGTATTTATGTTTTTTGGAAAGTGGTAATTTGTTTGTTTTTTTTAGGGGCGTCGCATGTTGCATGAGGTTTTCGGCTGAATAAATTGTTTTGCTGGCAATGTTTCCAGTAGTCAGACACCAGTAA